CAAGGGTGTTGGAATGAACTTTGTGATATCTTCTAGCAAGTGAATCTGGAAATAAGAAGTTAACACATTTTCAGTGATATGTCCTCCTATTTTAAATACCCATAATGCCCTATATCTCTTTACATTTCTAACTTGTTAGTTGATTATCACAGTTGGTATAACAAGCCTATCTTCCCCACTGGCAGGGAAGGTCCATCAGCCTGCGTATGTTTTGCTCACCACTCAGTCTTCAGTGCCAGCACCTGGGGAGCCGTTCAGTCATATTTGTTGACTGGCCAAGTGACTGACGAGTGAGCTCGCTAGCTTACATGAGGCAGGCCTGTGGACAACGTGTGCTTCACCACCGCCTATGGGAACAGCTGCCTGATAAAGGGCAACTGAATGGACACGGAGCCGGGTCCTGGGACAGACTGCCAGGACTATGTCCTAGCCCCGTGGTCAGCAAACTGCGGCTCGCGAGCCACATGCGGCTCTTTGGCCCCTTGAGTGTGGCTCTTCCTAAGCCTTAGGAGTACCCTAATTAAGTTAATAACAATGTACCTACCTATATAGTTTAAGTTTAAAAAATTTGGCTCTCAAAAGAAATTTCAATCGTACTGTTGATATTTGGCTCTGTTGACTAATGAGTTTGCCGACCACTGTCCTAGCCCCTCCACTTGTTAGCTCTGCGACCTTGTAAGAGTTACACGAGCTCTGTAAGCCTCAGTTTCTTGATCTATTAAATAGGGATGATAATAGCACCTCCCTCATAGGGTTGTTCTAAGGAAAAACTAGAGATTCGCTAGAAGCATTCCCTAGGTCGGCATGCCATAGTATATGTTGTCCCCCCAGTTCAGCCAGCACCGCATCCTACCCAGGACTACGTAGCAGGCAGTGATCCCCACAAGACCTGCCACTTTGAAAGGTTGCCAACTCCTGCTTCAAACAGTGCAAAGGAGTGCCTGTTCCAGAACGTTCCAAACACCCCAGAAAACCCTCCCAGCCTCTGTGGATAATGCCTGCCAAACACTCAGCACTTTGCTCTCAGAAGTATCTGGGTTCCTACCACTTTGCTCTCTATGGCATTATTGCTGATCAAATTCTCATAGGAGCTTGGTTAAGCCACACTCCTCGCGGAGTTTACAACACCCTTCAGGACCTCACCGCTCCTTGATTCTGAGTCTGCCCCTCGCCCTTCCTCCTCCGCCGCCCTCCGCCAGGCAGGGCTTGTCCTTGGGGAGTGCCATGCTTGCCTTCCCCTCCTGCCTTTCACAGGCAGCTCCCTCAGCCTGGCCCTTCTGAGCCTCAGGCCTCAGCTGAGCCACCACTTCCTTCAGAAAGCCCCCTGGCCTTCCAGGGGGTTGGATGCCACGCCCGCCCGAGGCCGAGGCCTGAGGCCCGAGGCCTGAGGCCCAGGCCCTCATCAGGGCTCCCTCGCTCTCTGTGAATGGTTGTCTCCTTGGTTGTACCCCCCGCCCCCCATGAGCACTCGGGAAATAGCTGTAGAATCACTCAGTGAGCAAATGGATGAGTACATTCGGCTGCGTCAAGCAAATCAAGGAGGAGATGAAATTCACTTTCCTTTCAACACAGATGGATGTGGCGAGACAGCGCCGTCTTCACTAGAACACGGTCTCTCTCTGTGTTTACCTGACGGCAGAGCCGAGGCTCCTTATCCTTTCCCACCTCAGCCACACAGGGGCCCCTGCAGGTAACTGAGTGCCAGACAAGCCCTAAGCCAGTCACTAATTTGGTCCATGCCAGACACTTCTGCACATTTAGATCCTAATTTACTACCATTGGCTTTTAAAGAAATAAATACTTAATGCTACATCGAGAAGGAACACTTACTCTTCCGCTTACAGCACAGGCGAGTGTCAGGGCAGGCAAGGGAGGGGAACCTCAGTCCTGGTGCCCCAGCCTGACTGGGCGAGGAGACGGGTCCTCACAGGGCAACGGGAAAGGAGCACAAACACAGAGGAGTAACTTAGACGTAATGTCCCGTTTTGATCCTGATGCCGTCCTGAGCAATAAACAGAATAAATGTGGTGCATCCCTGCTCACAGGTGAGGGAAGCTGGCTCGGAGTGACATGCTCTGCCCGCGGGTGGACAGACCCAGAACTTAACCCCAGTCTGTCCTATCCCACGTCCGCTGGGCCCTGCTGGGCCCCTCCATCCCCTAGTACCTACCCAGGACCCTTAGCACAGGCGAGTGGCAGCGCCCAAAACTACCGTGAGTTCGGGTCACGGGGACATCGCAGGGGAAACCTCCCGGAGATAGGGGACATCGTGGTGCCCAGCGAGGGCGAGTCGCACAGTTTGATGCCTGGTGGCCTGAGAGGCGAGAGCCGTGGTCACTCGGGCGCTTGGCTGGAGGAGAACGTCACTTCTCTTCCCTCGATGGCAAAGGAAGAGCAGCCCGTGCCCAGAGCTCTTCCATCTTAATAGGTGAGCGAAAAAAGTCAAAGTGGCAAGTTAGCAAGACCTGGGATTCTGGCTTGTTCTCCTTTCTGCTTTACATCAAATCAAAGAATCTCGGTGCACAGTAAGGAGAGTCAGTTAGCATCAGGGGCACCGTCGGTTTGTTTACCCAGCATCAAATCACGTCCTCCGTAAACGGGAGCATCAATAGCAGAAAAGCCTGGCTGATTTCCATTTCCTTTTTGATTAGAGAATTGCATCTACTGAACTCAGGAAGGGAAATCTCTCCCATTTAGCTTTTGAAGATCAAAGAGCCCATTAAACATGCCGTGTTACCAGCGTTCTTTTTCTCTCTTGGGTAAGACTTGGAGGTGCTTTATACATTGAGATTGCCCTGGGGAACAGAGAAGACTGGTATGGACTTCCCTCAAGGTCACTTCCCTCAGCCAGGACATCTGTTGACCCTTTTATTCAAACAGGGCTGCCCTGTCTGCTGAGGTTTCTGTGCTTAGAGCTGACAACCAGTGAGTGTGGGCCAAGGGCTTTTCAGTGAGTCGCCTTCTGATTCCAGGGATTGGGGCTCTTTCTGTATGTAGTTCATTCGATAAACTCTACCAACACAATGTGCACTGAAAAGTAAAATCATTGGCCTGGCCAGTGTGGCTCAGTGGTTGAGCGTCAACCTATGAACCAGGAGGTCACGGTTCGATTCCCAGCCAGGGTACCTGCCCGGGTTTCAGGCTCGATCCCCAGAGGGGGTGTGCAGGAGGCAGTCTATCAGTGATTCTCTCTCATCATTGATGTTTGTATCTCTCTCCCCCTCTCCCTTCCTCTCTTTTTTTTTAATTTTTTTTATTTTTTTTTATTTCTTAAAGTATTACAAAGAGTATTACACATGTCTCCTTCCCCCTCCCCCTTGACATTCCCCCAGCTTCCTCCACCCCCCAGTGTCTTATGTCCATTAGTTATTCTCATATGCATGCATATAAGTCCTTTGGTTGATCTCCTACCCTCCCAACCCTCCCCAGGCTTCCCACTGTAGTTTGACATTCTGCTCAATGCTGCTCTGCCTCTGTATCCATTTTTGTTCATCAGTCTATAATGGTCCTTATTATCCATAAATGAGTGAGTTCATGTGGTATTTTTCTCAGCTTGCCAGGGGCCGTCTCAGTCTCACCAGTGCTGTCTCAGCCTCACGGGGCCATCACAGCCTCAGCGGGGCCGTCCCAATCTCACTGGGGCCGTCCCAGCCTCTCGCATTCTGTCCTTTGTTGGGCGGCTCCTTGCTGCACAAAATCTCCAGGCGTTCCTGGTGGCTGAATATCTGGTATGCTTGCTTGGATTTCGTTTTCTACCAAGTGCACAGACTGCCTGTCTGCCGTCTCCCAGCATCCCATGTGTTACTGGATCTGGTGGGCCTGCCTGTGCGTTTGCTGGTACAGCGGTTCCATGTCGCCAGCCCATCCAGGTCTGGCTCCAGCTTCCTCCGAACCTGATTCTGCTTCTTGAGTGTGTCCCTTATGTATGCGAGGAGTTGAAATCTGCATTCTGCTGGGCTGGGCTGCAAAAGCGCTGGTGGTTCTCTTTGTGCCACTAGCACAGCTTGGGTGGGGATGTAAATTGAGTAGGGCGGGGTCCCCGGGAATCACCAGGGCAGAGCAAGGGGCAATGGCATCTCTGCGACTCCACGTCTCCGCGACTCCGCGTCTTGCGGCCCCGAGTGCCAGCGAGCAGCTCCGCGAGAAAGTCACTCTCGCTCTCTGGCCCGTTGCAAGGCCATCCCGCCTCTCCCTGTAGGGGTCTGGGACCTCAGGATCCCGCCCCAAACAAGTTCAGTGGATTTGAGAGTCTGCATCCCCTGGCACGCGACTCCGTACCTCCGTTCTTGGAGCTTCTGCACAACCTACTCAGTCTCAATGCTCTTCTTACTTTCCTTCCAGTTGTAGAGCTTCCACTGGGCCAGCTTTCCCATGGTTCTGAATGATAACTGTTTGTTTTATAGTCGGTAGTCTCGATGTTGTTGTGGGAGGCAGCATGCACAGGTCTGTACCTTACGCCGCCATCTTGGTTCTTCCCTTCCTCTCTGAAATCAATTTTTTAAAAAGTAAAGTCATTGACCAGAGAATGAATCTGTGTAGGAGTTCAGTTGGGGTAAATCTTGCTTTGCCCCAAAAGGGAGCAGATGGAGAGAGATGTCCAGGTAACGACCACATTCCCTCCCTGGATAAGTAGCCAAATGCGTATCTGACCCACCAGAGCGTGAGGTCAACTGCATCTGCAGGAAATCCCCCCGGGGAGCACAGTAAGAGGGGCCTGAGCCACAGGCACTGGCTGGTCTCTCAGTTGCTTCCTGGCCTTTTGAGATTAACTGTCCTGTTTTCATTCCCTGTTTTAATCAACCGGGAGAGTGAAGACCTTTTTGCCCTTATGTGTGGTGTGTAGGCCTAATTTGAGCCCGAGATAGGTCTTTACCATGTCAATCGTAAAAGGAAAATTATAGGAGAAAGGTTGAGATTGATTTCAAATTAAATGATCAACTAAATATAATGAGTAAATTTATCTTGATCAAATACTTGACATTTCTTTCTGCTTTGGGCAGCCAACAGTCCAAAGAAGACAAATACTCAGATCTCCGCTATGACCCAAACTGGAGGAGTAAGAGAGAGGAAGGGCACGTGCTGACTATGGAAGCATCGCCGGAGTCTGCGGACGGGTCTGCAGACGAGCTGGCTCGGGGTCCGCTCTTCCCCTCGGAGACTTCCACGGGACCCTCGGCGGGGCACGGCCCGCAGGACAGGAGCCCACAGAGCGAAGCCTCCCTACTTGGTAGTGAGTTTTTAAGCCCAAACTCTGATCATGGTGCCCATCACAGCACCCGGATCTCGGGGCTGAGCGACAGGGACCTGGCGGAGACGTCCAGCAACCTCTCTCAGTACGTGCAGAGTTCAAGTTCACACAATGAGGTCTTCTGGCCAAGATCACGGGGCCCTCGGCGAAGGAAGTCCAAACAATATTTTGTGGAAAAAAACAAGCTGACTTTGGGATTCCCCACTCCTAAAGTGGACTCTTATCTTCAACTTCACAATAAAAAAAGGGAGGAAAGTCACACAGAACAGGTACGTAGCAGCTACTTTAAATGTCATCTGAAACACTAAACTGGAATCTCCTTTGTTTGAAATGGCTGGATAGCACTTCTCTGGGATAGTGATGTCACTATGAACACCTAGCTCAGGAAGTCAAATGCCCTACACCTTGCCCCTCTTTGCAGAATGAAGGAAATTATTCCACAAATTCCTAAGAGCAAAATAAAAGTCATGAATGGTTATAGTTCTGTAATTGATGTAATTCTATTATTATCTCCAAAATGTTTTCATTCAAGGGCCCATAGAGTTTTTAAACGCATGCTCCAGGAGATGAAATTGACAAAGATTTGACTCCATGTCAGTTGCCTTGGTTTCCGCCATAGCCCCGGGTTTCAACCCTGCTCCCTGCCCTCAGCACATTGGATGGCAAGACACATTCACATCCAGAAGTGACTCAGTCAGAGCTGACACTGTTGGGTGGTCATGGGAAGGTGGCAGATACAGCCTCTCTAACCCCCACAGAGAACCACAACACCGCCCTTTATCATTAAACCTTAGTCTCCCCATCTATAAAGATAGAACAATGATAAATGTCCCCCTTTTCTCATCTGACCATTTTGAAGGTAATTCTATCCCAGATAATGGATTTAAAATCTATTGAAGCCAGTAAACTTTTTAAAAAATGTATCTTTATTGTTGAGTATTACAGATGTCCCCCTTTTTTTGCTCCACTGACCCCTTCTACCCCACTCCCACCCCCACCCCCAAGGCCTTCACGGAATTACTGTCCGTATCCAGGGGTAATGCATATATGCATATAAGTTCTTTGGTCAATCTCTTCCCACTCCCCACTCCCCCTTTCCCTGAGGCTCGTCAGTCTGTCCCAGGCTTCCGAGTCTCTGGATCCATTTCGTTCATCCACATGTACGTGAGATCATGTGATACTTGTCTTTCTCAGGCTGAAGCCAGTAAACTTAATTTTATCTGATGGGCACACAGATAGATCATATCAGCCCACCTCCTATTGAATATGTCTGTGGATGTAAGAAAAGAGTATGGCTGGATTGGTGTATCCACCACCCTTATTGGGGGAACAGCTTGAAATTCATCATCTTCTATTGCGGGTCATTTTCAAATATGAAGAAGTTATTACATTAAATGGAGGTTCCCTTAGGCCTCCAGATCGAAGTTGGTATCATTGAAGGTGCTGTAACCTATTTTAACCTGTACTTCCTGATGGAACAAGAGAGATGGGATGAACATTTGTGATTATTTTCTTGATTCAGAAATTTCTTTTAAGGGAGCACCTTTCAGTTGCTAGATGGATCTGCCCAACTCATGAATCACTGAATACAGCCAATTAGATCCTCACATTTAAAGAAAGAAAAAAAAACCCTCCTTTTATAGTCTTAAAGCATATGTCACATCCTTGCCTTTGTACCTAATAATAAACTAAAGGAGTGGGTGTGGTATATTTAGCTGAATTATCAAAACAAGTAGCTGAATTCAAATAGAGTTTTCAACGTTTTGAGCCAGTTTTAGATGTTTAATGTACTTTTTTGTTTCATAAAACATACATGAAAGTTTGAATTTTGACTGCTCATTTAAACTTAGAAATACATTTTATAGTCCAATATATGTGAAAAATGTTTAAACCTAGTTATTTCTCCCAGACTAGGATATGTTTCATTGTTTCTGAATGTGTTCTCAAAAGAAGCCAGTATAGAAGGGGAGGCCAATAGTCAGGCCAAAATTAATAGTTATATTTCTAATGATAAAAGAGAAAATGTTTATTATAAGCTCTTTAATTGCTGATATCTTAATTGCTAATTATTTTATGGTTATTGTCTGTGTCCAAGGGTTATGCATGTATGCATAAGAGTTCTTTGCAAACCATTTCATTTACTAAGCACTGTTCATTGCTAATTATTTTAGTGGTTATTGTCTGTGTCCAAGGGTTATGCATATATGCATATGAGTTCTTTGCAAACCATTTCATTTACTAAGCACTGTTGGGCTGAGTTGATTGTGGGTGATTCCACAGCACAGTTTTCATTAGGAGACTCTAAGCATCTTAGGCTTGTTCCGTCTTTGAGCTCATGAATTATTCTTTGGCCATTGACCTTGTCCGTTGCTTTTTCCAGGTTCAAATATCTAAGGGCTGATTGCTAATTGTATTTGCCAAGGAGGAGACTCTAAGCATCTTAGGCTTGCTCCGTCTTTGAGCTCATGAATTATTCTTTGGCCGTTGACCTTGTCCTTGCTTTTTGCAGGTTCAAATATCTAAGGGCTGATTGCTAATTGTATTCAAAATTGTTTCATAATCATTTCTAACATATATTCCTTTCATCTTTACTCCCATTCTTTTAAAAACAATAAAAATTAGTTTGACCTAACAGTGATATAATGATATATGTAACTTTTAAAATTATGTTATAGTCAATAGCATGGAATATATTACTTTTAAATAATTATTTATATGTGAAATGTGTGGTCTTTTCTGCCGATACAGGTTATATATTCTCTTATGGGCAGGAACTATGCTTTGCACTTATTTTTAATCTTCATAGTAGCCAGCCTAACGCACTGCACAGACTCAGTAAATAGATGGGAATTGAAAAATGCCTCTCTTCCCTTACATCCAAACTTCATTCCCTTCGTGTGACTTGAGGTTTGCGTGGGGAAACAGTCTTTCTAGAGCAGTAATTTGAAGTCCCAGCTGGATATTAGAATTCCCCGAGAAACCACACTTTTTTTTTTTGGTTGATTCTTTTTTAAAAAATCTAATTAATTAATTTATTTATTTAAAATTAAATCTTTATTGTTCAGATATATCTTTATTGGTTTCAGAGAGGAAGGGATAGGGAGAGAGAGATAGAAACATCAATGATGACAGAGAATCACCAATCAGCTGACTCCTGCACACCCCACGCTGGTGATCGAGCCCACAACCTGGGGATGTGCCCCTGACTGGAATCGAATCCAGACCCTTCAGTCCACAGGCTGATGCTCTAGGCTAGGGCCACATCAGTACTTTTTAAAGAAGACCCTCAGGCGATTCTGATGAGCCAGGTGTGAGAAGCATTGTTCAAGGCAGAGCAGAGGCCCTAACCCTGGCCTTCACATTGGAATCATCTGGAAAACTAAAAATACTGACTCCTTGGCCTGCAGCCCTGAGATTCGGATGTAATTTATTAGGGTGCCCTCTACGCATGGGGATGTCAGAGCTCCCTAGGTGGTCCCAGTGGCTGGCCAGTACCGCATCCCTGACCTGGAGCGTGGGCCTCGGTCACTCGCACCAGGAGAAGCATCTGGAGGGCTGCTCAGACCAGACTCCTGGGCGGAACCCACGCCTGCTGCCTCAGGAGGGTGAGGGTCGGGCCCAAGAGTTTGAATTTGCTACATGGCTCTAGAGCAGTGGTTCCCAACGTGGGCACAGGCCCCACATGGGGGGCAATTTGACTTTTAAGGGGGGCAACTTGAGAATGAGTTATTAACAGTGAATTTTTTGCATTTCTTATGGTTCTAGGGGCCTCATATACAGTATAAATATTATATTGTGAATTTATGATTTCAGTTTTCTATTTTATGTTTTAAAACTTTATTTGCTATTTTTTCATATCACTTCATATTATTATTATTATTTTAACAATTTCTTAGTGATTCCTTCCTCAGTACTTCAACTGTCCTTTCGTTCTTTCATTTTTCTCCTCTTTAATGCCATGTTCTTTGGAAGCTTGTTTAGACCAAGTTAATGGCCTTTTAGGCTTCCTCCACATGAATAGGACTTCACTTTTTGAATGATAAGAATGGTATGTCACCGGGGGGCAGGCATCAGGATTATAGAGATGCTTAGGTGGGGCATGGCCAAAAAAAAGGTTGGGAACCACTGTTCTATATCATGCCACTTCTGCTGTCAGGCCCACACTTTGGGAACCACGAATCTTTTGCTTTACACACTTGAAGGTGCTATGACCTCCCTCAGGGTCTTCTTGAAATACAGACTTTTCAGCAGGTCTGGCATGAAGCAAGAGTGCATTTCTATAAGTAGCAAGGGGCAGTGGTAGGCAAACTTCGGCTCGGCAAACCGCGGTTTGAGAGCCACATGCGGCTCTTTGGCCCCTTGACTGTGGCTCTTCCACAAAATAACAACTTCTGTGCATGGGCCATGAAGTTTCAATCGCACTGTACGTGCGCGCCCGCACGTGGTATTTTGTGGAAGAGCCACAGTCAAGGGGCCAAAGAGCCGCATGTGGCTCGCGAGCCGCGATTTGCCGACCACGGGTAGAGCATAAAGAACATAAAGCATTTATCAGACCTGAAGCCAAAGTGGGGCAAGTCGCAGGCACTACGCATTGGTGATGGATGTCCTTTGATTGGAGGCAGGAGGGATGGAGTTGGGGGCAGGATTGGAGGCTGTTGTTTTCAATTACAGCAGCATCCTCCTGGAAGTTTTTCACGTTAGAACGACCTGTTTCCCCTTCTAATTTCTTTGAAAGAGATGACAAATGTCTTACAAGTAGGAACAGTGAGAGGATACATAACATCTACTGTTAACTGAATGAATACAAAAATCTCAATTACCATGCACACAAACAAACACTGAGCTTTTTAATACACTGTGTTGTTGCCAGCACCAGGCCAGGCTGCATCAGACCTAAGGGTCATAAGTAGTGTATTGTATTCAGGAAGATCTGAAAGTAAATCTAAAAAGTTAACATCCCAATAAAAATATCAATAATTATTTTTTAAAATAAAATTTGAAAGGCTGATTATGAAGTTCATAAGAAACACTGGCATGAATAATAAAGAAAGCTCTGGAATTAAGAGTCATCATAAGAGAAAATAGCCCTACTAGATAGTATAGTATAGCATAACGCCTAAATAATTAAATATTAAGGTATTATTTCATACATATACGGATAGAAAAATGGAAGAAAAGAATAGAAAATTTAGAAAGAGAACCAAGTTTCATATGGGAATGTAAGATCTGAAACTGTGATTTGATAAAGGCATATCTCAAATCATGAGGA